TAGTTCCCCGAGCAACACTCCCTGACAGCCGCATACTACACTAGCAACCGCTAAGGAAGGGCTGCCAGGTCGCGGGAGCGCGTCCAAGGGCGCAGTTATTGTATTAATTCGTTGATGTGCAATAAACGATGGGGGCCGGAGAAGAAGCAATGTGAGCAACAGTTCCTTCTCCGGCTCTCGATTAAACCGGAAAAAAAAAAAAAAAAAAAAAAAAAAAAAAAAAAAAAAGGTATTTTTAATATTAATTTAAATCTAATCATTTTATAAATATTCTGTAGGTACTAATTTATTATATAAAATTATAAATAAAATAATTATTTTTTAGGATTTATCGGGTTTAAATATTTGCCAACAAAGTTTAAGGTCGGAAATGTCAAATGATGGTTGCAAAGAACTATCTAGTTGAACCTGAAAGATTCGATATTGAATATATTAAAAAGAATATTTCAAAATAAATCAAGTGTTTCCTAATTTGTATAAAATGATACAAATTGCTTTAACACTAACTATTAGCTCTGCTACGTGGGAGAGAAGTTTTTCTGCTATGAGGAAGATAAAAACATGGCTAAGAACATCTATACATAAAAAAAAATTTAATCAACTTTCAATATTATATATCGAAAAAGATAAGACTAAAGCTTTAAGTAATGATACTATTTTAAATACTTTTAACGAAAAATGAAAAAGAATAAAAAAATTAAGTTAAAAATGGTGATTGTATTTTATTAATTTTATTATTCATTTTTTTATGTTTGTAATTATTTAAGTTGTTATGATAACGAGAAAAATTTTTTATGAAAAAAAAATTTTGGTTGTGAGTGTAGGGGCAACGCCCCCACGGGTCTGTTTGTCATCAAATATTTGAGCCCCCCTCAATATTTCACAAAATCTCCGCTTATGAACCTACCTAAATCTAATGCGAATTGAACGGCGAGAGGGCATGAGCTATATTACCGAGTATTTTTTGTGTCACATCATTCCGACCACCATCATCAAAATGTTGTGAAGACTTAAAAAAAATACAAAATTTAGGTTCAGTGTGAAAAATTAAAAATTAAAAATTTGTCAACAAAATATATGGTTACCTATAACTCAAAATTTTGACTAAAAACAAAATTCAAAATTTCTTTTATTTCTTTAAAATTCTGAGTGAAACGATAAATGTATTGATTTTACAATGTGTGTTTTTTTTTGTTTTTGTTTTTTATTTTTGTGTCTGTGTACACGATAAGTAGTCGAAATAATGCTTCAATTTTCAAATTCAGTATCTTGTTCGATTGGAAAGTGAAAATCGTTGGTGCATTGAGGAGGTCAACATTTAAAATTCCTACTGATTTTCAAAAGCACCAAGATAAACAAAAGAAAAATTAAGAAAAACTGGAATTTTTACGCAAAATTGAATTTGGTTTTTGGTGTAACTTTAAAACAAATGACCGAAGATACATGAAATTTTCACTGGTTGTTTATATTGGCATTTTCTATACACGATAACATTTTCAAAATATTTTGATTTATTTTGAACTGTTTAGGGATATTTTCATTTTCCTTTTTAGTTTTTTTTCTAAAAATATCAATAAAATTTTATTTGTTGGATAAAAAGCTTGAAAATTTAATAGAAGGCTCCTAGTATATTGTTTCAAAGGCAGATAAAAAGTATTAAAAGTCCTTAGTCACAGTTTTTTTTATAAGCATTTAAAGTTCAAAAATTGACAAAATATGGAAAAATCACGAAAATTACCAAATTATTTTGAGTTAAGAATTCGTAAAAATTTTTCTTTTTAAATCTAAGATTTGAAAAAGTAATACAAGATTCCTTATAAGATTATGTACCTTTACCAAAAAAAAAAATGTCTATAAGAAAGTCAAATTAAATTTTTATGAACGTTTGAAATTCAAATTTTTACAACATTGGATATTCCTCGATTTCTCATGTAGCGATTTCCTCATTTTGTTGTAATTCAAAAACGAATAACTGTAGATAGGTACATGAAAATTTCACTGAATGTTTATATCAGCATTTCCTATACACCATACAATTTTGAAAATATTTTGACTCTTTTTGAGCTGTTGACGGACGTTTTCAGTTTTCAATTTTTTTATTTTTTTTTTTCTATAAATATCAATTAAGTTTTATCTGTTGGGCCAAAAAGTGTAAAAATTTAATACAATGCTCCTGATTTATTGTTACATCAGTTGAAAAATATTAAAAATACATGGGCAAAATTATTAATAATTAAAGATAGAATTTTGTCAAAATTTATCAAATTTAAAATTGAATAATTATTTTGTAGTTAATAATTTATAAAATGTTCAACTTTTATATCGAAGGATTGAAAATTTAAAACAAGATTATTCTACTTAAGTAGTTAATTCTGTTACCAAAAAATCTAAAATATAAATAAGCAGTTTATTTTTATAGTCATTTTAATTTCAAATTTGGAAGAAATTACATAAAAAAAACCTAGGAAAACTATTTTAGTTATTGTGTTGTGATTGTATATTATTCATGGGTACTTGAAACTTCTATAGTACACTATATATTATATAATATATCCATGATAGTATCACTTTTTGTTGTTGATGTATAAAGCGTTATAAATACCTAATTGATATTGTGATATGATTAATTTGGAATTTATTATAGGTACCTCTATTATAAGTCAATTTTTTTTTAATACCATAGATAAGTAGGTATATAATAAGACATATTTTATAAATAATATATACTAATAAATAATAACGATATAAAATATCCAGACTGACATACAGTCTCCGCTCAGAATCGTTTTTCTTATACAATGATATTTTATCATTGAATTCAAATTTAATACCATCCATTATACAGTGACCCACTTGTAACCTACTGTACAGCAGAGCACCTTTTTTTTTTTTTAAGGATGGCACAATATTTCGATGTTTTATGAGACGCCTCCAAAACTAAATATGGCCCTGTTCTTGATTCTTGACAAGTAAAGCTAACTTTTTTATTGTTAATACTACAATACTCAATTTGAAAGGATAACACCAAATACTTCAAAACAATTTCATGATTTCGATGCTTTTAAAATATTTGATATCACTATGACACTACCTATTACCTAACTCCTCTAACTTCATAATTTTCCACAGTAGTCACTAATACTTAAGTAACTCCATAAGTGTACCAATATTACAGTAAATTATCAAAAAAGAGAATATCAATAGAAATAACAAAACTGAGATGTAGCAATTAATAAATGTCCTGTGTCAAGAAATGATAAATTGTTCTACTACAGTTATTAACTTTTTGTACATTGTACATTAAGAGAGCGCTACACAGAAATTTGTTGTCTCCGTCTTACACATGCGTAAGATGGCAAATTTTAAGCTCGACAGATCACGTTTAGTTCTGTTCGTTTAAAAATTATAGTAAATTTACCTCTTATAAAATTTAAAGGTAAGATTATTATATAGGGCATCTCATCTAATTTGTATTCTTAATTTAAAGCGAGTTATGAGTATTTTAAAATAGTAAGCTATTAGAACATCTTAAAATACTCATCTTGCCTTAAAGTTAAAATACAATAAAAACCCTATGAGATGCCTTGGATAATAATCTTAAATTTAAATTTTATAAGAGGTCAATTCACTCTTATTTTTCAACTAAAGGAGCTAATGTGATCTGCAGAGCATAAAATTTGCGATGTTACGCACTTGTAAGACAGAGTCAACAAATGTCTGTGAAGCGTCCTCTTAAAATACTCATAATATATTATTTATATGAAATTTTTATGATAAACATTAAATAATATGGTTATATAGACTAGTTCTCGTTTTTCAAATCAGCCATTAGGCAAGAAATGTTAACAGTCTACTAATGACATGAAAAACCATAATAAACATGCTACCAGGTTTCAATGCTGAATTTTCTATAATTTAAAATCATACAGTAAACATAAAACATGGCATAATACATATTTTAATAAAATTTAAATATTTAATGAAAAAAATCAAAACTGGTCACTAGAAATATTTTTTTATAGAAGAGGATTGATAAATGTATACTTAAGAACTGAACTGTTTTTGTAAATTGATTAGTGTTAAAAATTTTCATTTAGTATTCTTCCATAAAATATTCTATGGTGTTATATTTTACATTGGTCCTTAAATTTCTATAATCTAATACACATACATAAAGTATAAAACTTAAATATTTCAAATTAACAACTGTTAAAAACGTTTTATAATATGAAAGAAAAATATTTATAAAACCATAATAATAATAAATTAATTATATCAGTAATTCAAAACTATAAGAAAACAGTTAAGCTAAAAATAATATCTCATAAATAAAAATATATACAATGTTCACACTACACACATTTGTAATTCAAAATTCAAAATTCATAGACAATAATGAAATAAATAGTGAACTCTTAAAAACAATAGTCCAAGTATAATGTAATGTAATGTGTGGTTATTGTGTAGACTTTCAATAACTATATTACTGAGTACCAACCACAATATGTTAAAATTATAATGTAATTGACTTGATCTTTTACAATTTAAAAACCAAAGTACAATATAAAAACATAATTTATTTTTAGTTTAATATAGGTACACATAAAAACCAATATAATTATATGAACTGAAACAAATGTATCATTAAAAATATATTACTTATCTCAATACAATCTTAAATTATCATAATAATGTATAATAGTTAAGTTTAAAAATACTTTAATCTTAAGTAGATTTAGTTTAAAATAAAATAAAAGAAGTTTCTATCAAAAAGTATAGGTAATTAGAAATCCTTTGATCCATCTAGTAAGTTGCATTTTATCTAGGCAAAAAATAATATTTTTCTATTTATACGAGTAAATAAATTAAATTAAATCATACATAAACAAAGGATGTACCTGTTTTCAGGATACTGACTATTTAATATTTAATATAACATATTATAAATTTAAATTAAATTAAGGAATAAGCATTTGAATATTTAAGAATAATTTAATAAGTTACCATAAACTATAATCAGTATCTTCTTGATATAAAGTTAAGAAAAACCCTATAAATGTCAAATAAACAACTATGTTCCCACACAATGTAAAATTACAGGCTGTCCATGCAATCTAAAAACAATATAACAAAGTTGAAAAAAAATATAATTCTGAAAGTAACAGAAATATTTAAAATCAATTAGAACTTACTGCATTAACTCTGGCCATTATTATAGGCAATGCAAATGAAGACACCACTATACCCATTGTAATAAAAACAGCTAAATCCATATTGGCATTACCGGATCCTGAGTAATCATTGAACCGTTTCATCAGCATGGTCGGTAATGGTGCCAGCAGGTAAAATATCACTACTATGAATGGCCACCAAGAACTAAAACAAAGACATTTTTATTAAAAATATTATAATTATTTGAAAAATTATGTCGAAATAATAACTAAAACAGCTATAGTCTATACGAAAAATAAATAATAACTGCCTAATGACTTACTTTAACTCTGGCAATGCACATGCTAATATGACTAAAGTCATACCAATGGAACCAGCGAAAGCCAAACTCATCAAACTGTAAAGAAGTATAACAGTTAAAATAAATGTCACTAAAACACTAAATTATAAAAAAATAACTAGTTTTAATTTAAAGAGCTCACAGAGCATATACACCAATTTCCAAACGACACATTTTAATTTGTACTTTTATCCTTTAATATAAATCTATTTTATAATGTAATACAATTGACACTTACGCTATTTAATATCAAATTGAAGTAACCAAGGAGATCATGAAACAAAAGAAAATACAATATTAATTTTTATGTTGTTAATATTTAATTTAAAAACTATAAAATTATATAATATAATATAATTTAATATAATATAATATATACTATAACCGATTAAAAATACAATATTTAATACTATTTAGATTTAATTTATAAAGCCTCTAAAATTGGTGTAGAGGTCTAATATAATACCTAATAAGTAATAACCACAGAAAGAGAGAAAAAAATATATATAGATATTTATATGGCTTCTTCCCTCACATTTTTAAATATTATTCATATTATTCTTTTAGCATATATTCTTATAGTACCCTAGGGCACATACTGTGTATATATAAAAAAAATGAATGTGCGTTTGTCTGTCAGTGTGTTCTTTATGCATTCCTTAATGATTTTTATGACATTTCTTGTGTGTGTTTGAGTGGTTCCCGAGATGATAGATTCACAATTGGACCCAGTAGGTTCAACCCGGGAAGGTGCCCAAAGGGGATTTTGAGGGTTAAGGTGGAAATTGTTGTCTGTAAACAGTTGCTATTGGTTATAGAATAAATAATTAGTAGAATACCATTAGTGGACGGCTTCTCCCATCAAGTCCTCATTTTCAACCTAATTCGATTGTCATTTAAGCTTATCATACAAAAATTGTATAAATCGCTAATCCAACACAAAAATCAAAAAAAGTCATGAGCAAAATCCGTGAAGTAATTAGAATTTAGAAGTTAGTAGTTTTAAAAATGCCCAACTGAGTAACACTCTGGGCCTATAAGAACAAGGATTTTTATATCAGATAAAAAAATATTTAATATTTCTGATAGTTGTTTTTTATTTTTAAATGGAGAAGGAAAGAACTCATCATGTAACTCTAAACATTTCATAATATCGCATAGTCATCTCATTTCTAGAAATATTTACATGAGTAGATGACCTATTAATATTTGATTGAAAGAGTTGATCTGATAACCTGGCAAGTTTCAATAATCTCTAAATATATTGATATAGAATTCTACCATACAAAGAACTCAGAGAAGCAGTTTTTGGTTTCATTCATAGGTAGATATTATTTAATTTTAAATAATCATAATTTATCTTAAATTTCTCATACAAATTGCTCCAAAATGTTAGTCTTATTTCCTCATCCATCTTTCCATTAAAATAACCTTAGATATATAAGTTTCAATAGAGTATATTGAATATATTCTTAAATTTGTCCGTAACTGTTATTTATTAACCTAATTATTATACTTATATAAAGTACTTAGTGTATCTAGGCACCTGCTCAACACCCGTTACATAATAAATAATTGTGCATTATATAGCCAACGTCGAATCATCGACATACTAACGCAGTAACAGCATTAACTATTATTGACGATTTGGAAGGTAACAATAGATCACGATGCCTGTGCAATTACCTTTTAATCCGGCCATCTTGAAAGACAAATGTCCGGCGTTACGGAGCGAGAAACTTGATTGACAACAGATATATGTAACTTTTATATTTTATTGTAAAATCCGTTAATGTAATATAATGTATACGGCGACTAGTCTAAGATAAATACAGAGCAAAGAAAAACAGATATATTATAGATATATTATTATGTATTTAAAAATATAGTAATGATATAATAATGAATATACCTAATAGTTAAAGTACTTATAAAAAATAAAAAGAATAAAATTGAGGGGAACAAATAAAAATAATAAAATGCGACGTTCGCCGTACACGAACCACAATACAATATTTAATAATAGGTAATTACTAATTAGTAACCATAATATAGATTATAATAGAATAATATAGAAAATAGACAATCTCACAATAATAAAATCTATGATTATCACACAGACGTTATCATAGCGTAAACATTAATTGATGCGTACTATCAGCGGGCAGCACAGACACAGTGTTGACATTTGCGTTTAATAATGTGGTCCGATTGTCGGCGCTGATGTATGGTCAAACGGGGGGGGAGGGGCACCAGCATACACGTAGATTTTGTTATAAAAAAAAATTTGTAACAAATAATAAAATATTTAATATAGTAATATAATATTTAATATTAGCCAATTACTAATTAGTAACCATTACTATTCTTTAATCTATATTAGTAACCATGGATAAGTATATAGAATAGATAGGCAACTCCCATGTTATAAAAACGAACCGTTTAACAGCGCTCCCGGTGGTTGTACGAGAAAACTAAAACAGCGCTACCATCGATAGTTATTGTTATATCGATTATATAGCTTATCGATAATTAACAATCGATTATTAACTACCATAACTATCGATGATTTTGTCTAGAAATAAAATTGTAGGTAAGGAATTTAGTAATAAAAAAAAATAAATTATTTTCTTATAAGAGATCATTTTTTATTAAATAGTTATCAAACAAACAATTGTATAGTTGTATACAAATTATTTAGTATAAATATAAAATTACAATAAGAAGTAATGTAACATTAAATATATAATCTACTGATTTGATCTATAGGCATATAAATAATGGACAGCACATTCCTCTATGCCCTGCCATCAATGCCTGTTGAGCATATAACCATATAACAGAGAGAAAGAACATTAAGTAATGAAGGAGCTTGCATGAATCCCGCATAAGAAACCAAATTCATTTTACTACTTTTAGATTCTGAGTGAAACGATGAATGTATTGAGTTTACAATGATGTGTGTTTTTTTTTGTGTCTGTGTACACGATAAGTAGTCGAAATAATGCTTCGATTTTCGACTTCAGTATCTTGTTCGATTGGAAAGTGAATATCGTTGGTGCATTGGGGAGGTCAAAATTTAAAATTCCCAGTACTTTTCAAAAGCGCCAAGAAAAACAAAAGAAAAATAAAGGAAAAACGGGAATTTTTACGCAAAATCTGTTTTCGAGAAAATTTGTTTTTGGTGTAACTTTAAAACAAATGACCGTAGATACATGAAATTTTCACTGGTTGTTTATATTTGCATTTTCTGTACACGATAATATTTTTAAAATATTTTAATTTATTTTGAACAGTTTAGGGACATTTTCATTTTCATTTTTTTATTAGTTTTTTTTCTAGAAATATCAATAAAATTTTATTTGTTGGTAAAAAAACTTGAAAATTTAATAAAAGGCTGCTAGTATATTGTTTCAAAGGCAGATGAAAAATATTAAAAATACATAGGCACAATTTTTTTTTATAAGCATTTAAACATCGAATTTTGACAGAATTTTTCAGAATCTCGAAAATTATTAATCAGCGTAATTTATAAATTATAAAATGTTCAGTTTTTATAGCTAAGGATTGAAAATTTAAAACAAGATTCCACGTAAGTAGTTAATTCTTTTACCGAAAAATCTAAAAAATATACAATCACAGTTTATTTTTATAGTCATTTTATGTTCAAATTTGGACGAAATTACATATTAAAAACCTAGTTATTTTGTTGTGATTATATATAATATTATTCGTGGGTACCTACTTGAAACTTCTAAAGTGTAATATTATATATCTATGATGGTATCAGGGTTTGTTATTGATGTTGATGTATAACGTGTTATAAGTACCTAATGGATATTGTGATAATGTGATATGATTAATTTGGAATTTATTATAGGTCAATTTTTTTTTTAATACCATAGATATGTATATAATTTGTCTTAAACCTAGACTGACATACCGTCTTCGCTCAGAATCGTTTTTCTTATACAATGATATTGTATCATTGAATTCAAATTTAATACCATCCATTATACAGTGACCCACTTGTAACCTACTGTACAGCAGAGCGACATCCACTTACCCACCTTTTTTTTCTGCTGAATTCAAATATTTTTTCAGAATCAAAATCAGACAACGTTAACTAACTTTTTTTTTTTTTTATTTATTAAAAATTAAAATGTATCTACATATTACATGTAACAACAAGTTAGTTATAAATAAATAACAATAACAATAGCAATTAAATTTAAAGTTATGTATATAATAATATTGATATACTGTGTGTTTGTGTTATTGATGTACGGAATATGTGGTGTGTGTGTGTGTGTGTGTGTGTGTGTGTGTGTGTGTGTGTGTGTGTGTGTATGTGTGTATGTGTGTGTGTGTGTGTGTGTGTGTGTGTGTGTTATGGAGTAGGGGTTATAGGGAGTGTTATTTTGTTTATTAGGGATGTTAATACAGTAAGAAGGGGGTTAAGTATAGATTTTAGTTCGTCGAGGAATTTGGTGATGATGTGTAGAGATTGATCGGGTGGTGGTCTGTTAGCTGCGATTTCGGCGTATGACGGTTTTCCTTTTGAGTTTGAACTGGAGGCTTCATTTCCACTTCTTCGAGATGGAGGTGGTATAGGCGGTATAGCAAGTGTTGGAATAGGTTGCTGTTCTTTATTTATTTTTTTAGCTTTAGGTTTGGTGCGGTTTAGTAATTTTTTAAGGGATTGGCATCCTTTGTAGTTTACGGTGTGGTTTCCACCACAATTTGCACATTTTGCGGGTTCCTCCCGTTGTTTTGTGCATTCGTTAGTTGAGTGTTCTGATCCGCATTTTACGCAGCGTGGATAGTGATGGCAATAATTACGTGTGTGTCCATATTTTTGGCAATTATGACATTGAGGGGGATCAGACCGCCTTTTCGGATATTCAAATTTCACTATTGAGTTTAATATTTTTGTTACTTTGAATATTTCTCGATTATTGTTGTTGCGGGCCAGGCCTATATTAAATAGAGGAAGTGGTAACTTGTTCGTGTGGTGTATTATTTTTGAGATACTGTTGACTTTGTGCCCTAG